ATGCAATCAATAAAACAAGGATTGTACATAGAACAATATCGGACCTCTGAAAAGTACAAGCATGCATATGTACTCAGTACTTGGTTTGGGCCCCTTTTGCAGCACTTACTGCAATTACTTTTGCACGATATTCTAATTATTCGAGTTTCACCTGTATATATTATTATTATATCCCTTATATTTTGGGATGTGGCTGTGTTCAGAATTAACTAAACACATTCAAACTGAGGTTAGATAGTAGCTGGTACACATACCTGCCATTAAAGTGAATAATTAAAAGGAGAACTATGAGATGAGTGATTTCCACTCACCTCATAGTTCTAAGCCGACCTGTGACAATACCCTTATAAAGTCAGCTGTTCTAGTTGGATTTTTTCTGACATTTACTCAGTTGCCTTTTACAGCAAAAGCCATGGTCCACAAAGCTTACAAAGCATCAAAGGAATCTTATTGCTGGAAGGTATCAGTCAGGAGAAGGGTACAAAAAACCCCAAGGCATTAGATATACCATGTGAAGACTGTCATCAACAAGTTGTGGTAATGTCACAACAGTGATGTTACCAAGAACTGGCTGTTCCTCCAAACTTGATGAAAAAAACCCAAGAAAACTAGTAGGCTGTCAAGAGGCATACAACAAAATTAAAGGAACTGCAGGAATTTCTGGCAAGTACAGGTTGTCTACTACATGTGACAACAATCTTCCCATATTCTTCATTTGTCTGGACTGTGGGTTAAGGTGGTAAGACAGAAGCCTTTGCTTACTAAGATAAAACATACAAGTCCAGCTACATTTTGCAAAAACCCACAGAGTCTAACAAAAGTATGTGGGAAAATGTGTTATGATCTGATGTGTGTTTGGTGCAAAAACAACACTGTGCATAACCAAAAGAACACCATACCCACAGTGAAGTAAGGCAGTGGCAGTATTATGCTTTGGGGCTGTTTTTCCTCATCTGAAACCTTAATCAAAGGCGGATGGATTTATAAAACACTTCTAAATATGAGTCAATTTTGGCACAAAACCCTCAGGCCTCTGCTAAAAAGCTGATTAAGAAGAATTTTGCCTTTCATCATGACAATGACCCAAAGCATACCTCCAAATCAACCAAAGATTCACCAGAAAAAGATCAAAGTTTTGCAATGGCCCAGCCAGAGCCCGGACCTGAATCCAATTGAAAAAAATCTGTGGGGGTGACATGAAGCGGTGTCCTGTGCAAAGGAGATGCCCCTGCAATCTGACAGATTTGGAGCGCTTTTGCAAGGAAGAGTTGGCGAAGATTCCCAAGGCAAGATGTGCCATGCCGATAAGACTCCTACCCCACAAGATTGAATGGGTCATAAAATCAAACTGTGCTTCAACAAAGTATTCGTTTAAAAGGTGTGTATATTTACGCAACCATGTTACTGTAAGTTTATTTTTCCCCTTTAAAGATTTCAGCTTGTTTTGAATTGTACAGATTATAGGTCAGATTAAATGTGGAAAAAAATTCTCAAGGGATTTTTACAGGGGCGTGTAGACATTTTGTATCCTCTGTATATGTGACATCTATACGGCACTACAAAACTGTGCTCTTTAGAAGGCTGTAGATATTTCCTGATGTCTCCAAGGATTTTGTTTTGCAAACCTAGGCAAGTAAGGATTTTGCCACCCACCAAAGTCAATTGACAATGCATTTGCATCCATGCCAGTTGTTTACAGCTTATATAGCCCTGGGACGATGTGTATTGCTAACAAAGCAATGAACGGTCTGAACATAGTTGATTCAATTAAACACTTCTAAAGAAGAAAAATCTCCCTCCCGAGGAATTTGCTATCAAAATATGTGCACTACAGGATATACTATACAAAATAAGAGCAGAATTGTGATACCTGGTAATAAAAGGAAAACATTTGCAGAATAATGTTACATAGTACTAGGAGTACAGTGGAATGCACTAAGGTTTACCTGGCCCCCCGTAGAGTCTTGTGTGTTGTTGTCGTGACCACGTCAGCATGATCAAAAGGAGTTGGGATGACACCAGCTGCTACCAGACCACTGATATGGGCCATATCAGCCAGAAGGTAAGCCTTCACCTCATCACATACCTGAAGGAGGGAGGAGAGCACAGCAACATGATCAACACTCATCTTTTCCAAACCAGAATGCTAATATACCGTATATACTCTAGTATAAGCCGTCCCGAATATAAGCCGAAGTACCTAATTTTAGCCCAAAAAAACTGGACTTGCGTGCAACATCAAAATGCAAATTTTTGCACTACTTGGAGGGGACCACAATATCTAACGCAGGGATGGCCAAATTACGGCCCTCCAGCTGTGGTGAAACTACAAATTCCACGAAGCATCTCTCCGGGAGTCATGTCTGGCTGTGAGAATCTTGCAAAGCTTCATGGGATTCGTAGTTCCACCACAGCTGGAGGGCCGCATTTTGGCCATCCCTGATCTAACGGGTCACAACCCAGATACCAGGTTTTCAGATACTGGATATGGATACAGAGAAAATGAGGATCTCTGGTACGGAACCACTTTCAACTTTAAAGCCCATTTGACAGCAAACCAAAAAACTCCCATTGCAGTGCAGCTACTCACACACTGCAAGAGTTAACTGCTCATTTCTAGGGGACCAGAGTAAAATCACTTTAACTTACCTGGTCCCTGTTCTCCCGGCAGTCAGCGTTAACCCTTCCTCCCTCCACATCCTCACATCTAATGCAGGTCTATAGAACTTGCACAAGACGCAATGATGTCAGCGGTCCTGAGACCACCGAAGCAGAGGGGAGAAGAGGATGTGGGGACCAGTCCTGCAGCCCGAAGGGAACCGGCAGGAGCAGGGCAGGTAAGTAAAATAGCTTTTTCATGTTCCCTTAGCATAAACAAGCAGTAAACCCTTTCAGTGCGGGGGTTGCCCCATTGCAAGGGTAATTTTCAGTTTGCCCAGAGATGGGCTTTAAGCAGAAAATCCTTACTTGCGCAAAGTTAAAATCTCTGTTAGAGGCAACAGAACCACAATGTGGAAGTAAAGCTTGTTTGTTAATAAAGCAGTTTCTACAGCAACGCAACACAAAACCTAGACGTCTGTTTAAGTTACTAAAAACATTCTTACCTGTACAAGTTCCATGACCTTTAGCAGGACATTTTCCACTAACCAATGTTCTCATTTAACAATTCAGAGTTAAGATCAATCCTGCTCCCATAAGTCAGCTATAAATTTAGCCTTAATTCGCTCTTCAGAGAGGTTTTAAGTCTTGCAAGCTCGCAAGTTGAGACTTCTGTGGTTTTCCCTTCTATAACTCCAGAGACTTTTTGTGCTCAGTCTGGCAACACTTTGCTTAAAATAGCTAAACCTTTTTTTCCTTCGGTTCATGATTTATACCCAAAGGGTCTGAAGACAATGAAAGACTAACCCAGCCAAGATGCTGCACCTTCTGTTGTCTCATTTGGAGCAGAATTTGTGCATAAACACAGTGCATCAATCTACAGGCATGAATCAGGTCCCCCTGGTACTCGCCACTGATAAAACGCACTATATATTAGTCTGGATTTTCCATCAGTCTTGTACCTACTTAACCTGCTCAAGTGGTCCATGGATATAAAAACAAAAAAAAAACAACTAAAAAAGCTACAAATGAGGATGAATACGGCCTAGTACAATTGCTTAATATAAATTAACCTCTCACATTAAATATTCATGTCTGAAGATAGTAGCTACTTTAAAATCAATTAATATTTTTGTATTTAAAAAGGGGTTCCACCTTTACTAAAACAAAGGCTCCATAGCTCTAAGCACTTCCATTCTGGTCAGCATTACTGAGGTCTAGGAAAACCAAAGTAACATAGCAGTACATGTATTAACTGATGTTTTAACTTGTTAGATTGGAAATGTATCCAACATGTACAGATGTTGGACAAATTTGTTGGTACCCTTACAGATCATTAAACAATGCTTCATTCCTCTTAACAAGTGATGGTATTAAAAGCAATTGTCTCATGTATACCTCAATGCCTTTGTTATAGAGTTAAATCAAGAAAGTGTGAAAAGAGATCAGTTAATTATACCAAGATATTCTAAAAAGGGCCTGGACAGATTTGTTGGTAGCCCTAGAAAAGATTGAAATATCAAAAGTGATCTAGGTGCCTTCTGGAATTAGCATTGCACCATGTCTTTACTCTAGTAATCAGTCAGCCAGCCTATTTAAATTGAGAAAAATAGTTACTGCTGTTTGGTATTAGGTGCACCACACTGAACATGGACCAGAGAAAGCAAAAAGGAGAGAAATGTCTGGAGTAGATCAGAAAGAAAATTATAGAGATCAGCATGTAAACAGGTAAAGGCTATAAGACCATCGCCAAACAGCTTGATTTTCCTATGACTAGTTGCAAATATTAAGAAGTTGAAGGTCAACCTCTTTGAACATAGCCACAAGAGGAAAACCAATGGAACAGAGGATAGTGAGAAAAAAGGTAGAACAAAGGAAAACTTGCCAAGATATGCCAGCAAAACTCCAAGGTCAAGGTCTCTGATCGCACCATCTATTGCTATTTAAGCAACAGTGGGCTGAAAATAAAAACTAAAATAAAAGCCACACTGGAATTTGCTAAAACTCATATTGACAAGTCACAATGCTTTTGTGAGAATTTCTTGTGGACAGGTGAGACAAAGAGGGAGCCATTTGGCAAGTCACATCAGATCTACGTTTACAGTTGAAAAAAAATGAAGTTTAAAAAAAAAAAAAAAAAAATCACTATTCCTATTTAGAAACACTGAGGAGGATCAGTCATGTTTCGGGGCTGCTCTGCTGTGTTTGGTACAGGGAACTTTAAATCTGTGCAGAACACAATGAAATCTAAAGACCATCAAAGAATTCTGCAGCAAAACATGTTGCCCAGTGTCAGAAAACCCTGTCTCAGGCACAGGTCATTGGTCCTCCCAACAGTATAATGTCCCAAAACATACAACTAAAAGCAAGCGAGAACAGCCAAGAACATAACTCTGGACTATTCTGAAGTGGCCTTCTATAAGCCCTGATCAGATACCTACTGAACATGTATGGAAAGAGTTGAAGCAAGCAGTCTGGAGAAAGCACCCTTTAAACCTGAGACAGCAGGTACAGTTTTCTCACAAAGAGTGGGGAAAACTACCCGTTGACAGGTCAAGAAGTCTCATTGAGAGCCACAGAATTTGCTTGTTTGCAGTGAAGGGTTGTGCAACAAAATATTAGCTTATGGGTCCCATCATTTTAATTTGTTTTATTATATAAAACATTGTTGGGAAAAAAAAAAATCAAAAGAACTAAGCTATTTCGTAGAAAATTGTGGGTCCTGCTGTTTTCGTTGTAGGGTACCAACAAATGTGTCCATGCCTGTATTTTGCATCGCATAACAAAGTCCATGCAAAGGCAATGGAAGATGGCATGTTAACGGTCTTAGAAGAAACAATCTACCTCTTTTTGATAAATGATAAATGCAGTTGGGATGGTGGATCTCTCCTGCAGCCTGTTACAGTGCTGGAGGTGGTGCAAGAGATTGTGCAGGTCTTTAACATAGTAGGTGAGGTTGAATAAAGACTAGGGTCCATTGTGTGTGCAAACCCATCAAGACGTTTCTTGAACTTATCTACACGCTCAGCGGATACCATTACCTGTAAGGGAATTGCAATTTTACTACTCGCAGTAAAAACAAAACCCCTTTACGCACTCTGAGATTAAACCCCCTTTCTTCTAACCTCTTGTTGTGTCCTCGGTATAAACAACTTGTTTCCAACATTGTGCTCCCCGCTGCCTTTTTAAGGCTGCAATAAGGTTTCTCTTAAATCGCCTCTTTTCTAAGGTGAATAACTTTAATTTTTGAAGGCGGTCTTCATAACTAAGGCCTTCTATCCATTGAATTAATTTTGTAGCCCTGAACTCTTCTGATGGCTTTCCCGAGAGTTGGCAACCAAAACTGCACCACAGTCTCAAGAGGAGGTGGAACCAGTGATTTATAAAGTGGAAGTATCACTCTTTGATCCCTTGCTACAATCCTCTAATACATGACAGTATCCCGTTTGCTTTGCTGGCTGCTGCTTGGCATTGCATACTCTTGCCAAATCTGATCTATGAGCACCCCCTGGTCTTTTTCCATGTTAGACTGCCCTAATGTAACACCCCCCAAGTATTATTTTGCGCACACGTTCGTTGCTCCCATGTGCATAACCTTAAATTTTTCCATATTAAAATCGCATTTGCCATCTTGTAGCCCATTCCTCAATATTATCTAGGTTGGGTTACTGTGCAAATATCTCCTTCCCTAAGCTTCTGGAGCAACATGTCAATCTAAATGGCTGTGGGCAGAGCTAGGTGTAGCTATTTACCGATAGGGCTATCACAGGTGCCAGCATCTAAGCAGCTACAGCAGCAGCAAGAGTAACACCACTGCAGAAGAGCATTTTCACCCAAGTCAATGGTTCTACTGGCAGGATCAGCAGGTATTTGCAAAATGTTTCAGGAGGTACTTAGAAAAAGGACATTACAACTGCTACTAGATATCGGTCAGCAGCCAAATGAATACGTAACATTTGCTCAGTAAATATTTTGACCTCCCCGAGTTGAACGATTGAATTTCTCAGGAAGGTTCAATTGGGCTTTAAAGAAGAACTCCAGGCAGAATAAAACCTAACTTGGAGTGGGGCTACCCATGCTCATTTTGGTGTAGGGTCTAAAATAAGTTAGTCACCCGAACATCGGTCCCGCCTAGCTGCTAGACTGCTCCTTGCAGCCCCTCCACTCCAGCAGACTAATGATCTGTGAGTCATCACATCTAATACAGGGACATTCCATTGCCAGAGTGAAGGGGCAGAGAGGCTGTAGAGACCAGTCTAGCAGGCAGGCTAGACTGTTATTTTAGACACTAGATGAAAACGAGCACTTAACCCTTGCAGTGTGCAGATTTCACAAAGACCTCCAAGGCTGTAGGAACGTTTTTTAAAGCTAAAGTACATTTTGTATTGCATACATAAAAAGCATGTCAAAAAGTTGCAGCATGTCAAAAAGTTCCAGCTCCTCAAATGCAAATAAATACACCAATTCTGGAGGTACACAAGCCAAGTTTCCTGCAATACCTGACATGCAAAGAAGATTTATACAGGGATCACACAATTTAGGATTTAGCTAGCACCAATACGATTAAAAAGGCATTAACAGCTATGATAATACATTACACACACTCGTTTAGAAGAGAATTGAAAGGCTATGGCACAATATAAAATTGCATTAGTAAAGTCAAAGTTGCTATAATGAGTTCTTATCATCTGTCCTTTTAGTCAAACCCTGCTTAATAATATGCAGAATATACTGACACATGGCTGCAAAAAAAAAAAATCACTTTTCAAAAATGTATCGATATACTGTGATTGCGACACATAGTTCACCATGAGCTCAGTCTCAAGCATGAACAAGTCAAACACAAGCCACTTACGTAGGTAGGATATGAATATAGCCAACCAGCAACCAATTAGGATACATAATTTGGGGCAAGCACTGGCTGCTATCTTAAGGAATTGTAGGAGAGGAGTTAAAAGAAGTAAAGCCAAAAACGTTTAGGCTTTAGTCCTTGTTTGGGTCAAAGGAGTACATTTACTAATATACCCCTGTGACACAAAGACAGCATCTAGCTATTTGCTGAGAGCACAGAGGCAGGCTTCAGCCGGGAAGGATCCCGGCAATATTGCCAGATCTATTCTGCTTGCCTCATTTACAGCTGGCTTTGTCTCTTCAGAGCCAGAACTGTGCCCGCCACCTCCCCTGTCTGTTCCTCCAACGAGTGCTGAAGAAACAGAGCAGACGCGGGAATCCCTGCGAGGAGCCGTGACTAACAGTTACCACTCTCTGCGGGGAGAAGACCATGAGCGGAGCGATCAACGATTCATGATCGCTCAGCTTTAGATCTTTAGAGCTGGCATGCGACACCTGCAAGGAATAGAAGGCTTGTGTAAAATCCAAGTCTCTTACAGCTTACATAGGACTGAGGAACATCAATGGCTCCATATGACCGCACTCAGCCAATCACCAGCACTGGTGTAAGAGGAAGGGGAGGGAGTCATGCTCCTCTATACCTAGAAAATACAAGGTATGTATTTTTTCTCCCTGCAGCTCAGTGCAGCAGGGGTTGGGAAAGAAAAGGTACATTTGTGCTGATAAGGAAGGGGCATCAAATTGAATATGCTTTTCTCTGCATAGGAAAAACAGAAGTTTAAAGTCTAATTGAAGTTTATTTAGAACATGTTGTAAGCAATGCTGTAACATTAGTGTGTTGCAAAGTCTTACTTTTCGTTTTTATTGGTAAAGCAGTTCCAGTTTTGTTTGAGCAGCGGTCTGACATGCCCCAAGTCACATTGATTAGCTCTGCAATGAGCAAAACGGACACCCCTTGCTGATTGCACAACTGTCAGCTATCAATAGGGGTCTGTTCTCTGCGGAATACTGGGGGTCAGGCTGATTTAGGGTAACTAGAGTGATCTAACACAATAAATGGGAAAACTTGGTATACTTAAAGTTTTACAATACCTGTACTTGCAACATTTTCTAAGACACTGGCTTTACGAACTTCCTGCATGGTCATGTTAGCATTAAATGGAAGTGCCTCTAATATTAATATATTTTAGTTACATTTTATTTTACAGTACGGAAGTTTAACTTTTTTTCCAAATAATTATTTTTTCTTCAGTCTGGTAACAACGTTATAAAAATAGGACAATGTACTAATATACCATAGATCTATACGGTACAATATTTTTATTTATGAAATTGTAAGCCTTGCAATACCTGCCAGTCCTATATTGATGTGAGTGATACAGCTGTGTTTTAGGTTTCAGGATATTAATAATCTTGACTAAAGAAAACCTTAATAATGTTAAGAGCATAGAGATACTGGAAAGGTCACACAATGCATGAAAGCACAGATCACAGATAAGCAGGAGCCAAACAATGCACGAGGACAGATGGATTGCACCAGACAGGTATGTCATTAGCAGGTTTTAAACTCTTGTACATAAAAAAAACACATGTTGAGATACAAGAAGTTATTCTAGAAGGAATACAACCTACCTTTCTCATCCTGGCATAATCTATTAGACGTGCATATGCACTAGTCCCGGCAATGATGAGTTTGGGCCGAAAGAGACGAGCGGTCACCACCAGTTGGTCATAGTCAATTAACCCAGTTGCTTGCTTAAAACAAAACAAAAAAGGGTGAAAATATGTTGGTTGTTCACTATGCTTCACAAAACAGATTAAAGGACAATTGTATCTACATTTTGGCTGTGTAAAGTTAAAAAAAAAAAAAAAAAAAAAAAAAACAAAAACCCTCCCTTATCTTGCTT